TGTTGCTGCAGCTTCGGAGACCGGGGGAGGGGAACCTCTGGCTCTTAGGCTCCCGGGCTACATCTGGGAAAAACGGGGGAGAAGGGGGAAGAAGGGGACAGGATTTCTGGCATTTGGGGCCAAAGCCAACAAGATTAATTTAATAATAATAACAATCAGGCATCCTTTTGAGCAAGAAACCAGTACTTGAATCACCTTCATTTTGCAAGGAAGGAAACTGTGGATCCCCTAAGTCCAGTGCTTTGCTTTAGATCTCTTAGCTGTGAGGGACACTGGCCCAGGGTGGGGGCACAGAGGATGGGGATAGTGCACAAATGCACTTCAGACAAGGGTTAAAGCGGTACTGTAGGTGGACTGCAGTAGTGACCCCTCCCAGCTCATCCAGGGCAGGGTAAGGTCACCCCAGGCCCCCTCTCTAATGGAGTAACATGAGTCAACTTGAATAGCACAAACACACGCATCGTCAAGGTACACACACACACACACACACTCACACTCATAGACACATGAACACATCCATTTAGATACACTCACATAGGTACACACTGACATTCACAGACATTCCTGCGCTCTCACACACCAGCTCCTGGGGAGGGTGACCTGGGGTCCTTGGCAAACCTTCTCATGCAAGAAACTTGTCTGTGTCCAAAGCACTCGCCTTCACATCTTCATCTTCCTCCACCCTCATACTTACCTGTGCACCAGGTGGACAGGTGTCACTGTGTCCATTTACAGGGGGTGAAGAAGTCATGCTCACCAGTCCCCTTCACCCAGGCAGTCGTGGATGCCTGGCAGGGTTTTGAAGGAAGAGTAGGATGGGGCATGCAGTGGAGCTGGATGCCCCTAGAAGGGTAGACTTGGACTTGGTGAAATTGCTTATGTCCTAGGTAACAGAGTAAGGAGGTGAGGGGTGAGGGGGTGCTGACCTCTTCCTATCTCCCAAGCCCTGGTGTCAGCAGACCTAGGTCTGAATGCAGTCTCAACCCACATAAGCTGTTTGACCTTGGGCAAATTGCTTCATCTTCCTGAAGCAATTTATGGCTAGTTATGGTATGATGCCTTATCACATTATCTCGGGGAAGCCTGACAAACCTCCATTCAACAGACATTTATGAAGTACCTACTATGTGCCAGGAGTGCTGGTGTGGCGTTGTGGGTTAATGTGCTGGACTGCAAGGTCGACTTGAACCACAAGGTCAGCGGTTCAAGCTCATCAGCGGCTCCTTGGAAACCCTATATGGGGTCACTATGAATCAGAATGGACTCAACAGCACTTAACAACAACACCTATGTGCCAGTGAGAAGAAGACAGCTGTACCAGTTTTGAATCAATGCTGTACTCGGGCACATGTGCTCAGAACCCCTCACATCCTGCCCCATCAGCTCTGCACCCTCCTCAAGTCTGATCTGGGGAGGGTAGCTCTGAAGAGGTAAGTCTTCACCGTGGGTCTCTGGTGCCTGGCATGGTGCTGGGCGTATGTCTGCCCTTGTGTGTAAAAGTCCCATTCTGTGTGGCTGGGGGCTGGGGAGACAGAGGTGTCCTTTCTCTGCTTCTATAGAGTGACTAGATCTGGCTTGGAGGGATGGCTCTGACTCACCATGACGCAGGATGCTTGGTCACAGCTGCTGATGCTCCCAGCTGGCAGCCTGGCCATTCTGGGGACAGAGGGGCAGGGAAGGAGACCCCTGCAGAGAGGACAAGCAATTCACGGGGGAGAAGACTGGACCCCTCAATGTGCCCCCTTCAGACTAAGGCAGAAGCAGGTGGGCGAAGCAGGGCAGTGCCTCCCCCCAAACCCTCAGGGTTCCAAGCTCACCAATTCAGAGACAATCGAGGTGGGGTTGGGTTTCTACCTGTCCCAGCCTTGGGTTTTCATGCTGACCAGTTGCATACTCAATCCCCTCATTGAACAGATTGACTCAGAGAGGGGCAGGGGCTTGCCCAAGGTCACACAGCAAATCGATGGTAGAGTGAGGACTAGAACTCAGTTTTCCTGTTTGCTGGCCCAGCCCTGGCACTATCTTGAGACCAGGTCATGCAGGGGCGGGTGACACCCCCTTTCACGCCCACATTCACCTTCCCAGTCCTTGGAATTCTGCTGAAGCTAATGATTCCCAGACAGCTCCAAGATGTGTGCTTGTCCTTTCCTGAGGGCTGACTGTCCTTTCCCAGCTCGCCCCACTGCCCATCTGTCCTGTGGCCATCCACTGCCCACCCCCAGAACTTTCCTTACCCCACCCATTGATAGGGAGGGGAGATGGCAGACACCTAGTGAGTGAGGGGACCAGGATAGAGAGAATTCTGTGCATCTGAATCCCATCCTCCCCACTATGTTTTGGGGATCCAGGCAGAGTCCCAATTCCAGTGGTCTGTTCTGCTTGTTGCTATCGAGTCATGCACATCACCAGCTCTTAGTGCCTGGCACTGGACTGGGCATTGGAGCGTGGAGAGGAGATGCTGCAGGATTTGAACGGAGCGAGATTAATCAACAGGAGCCATTACAGTGATGAATCAGACCCTGTCCCTGCCTGGGAGGTCCTGGTGGCAGGAAGGGGGAGCCATGTGCATAAATAACTCAGGGTCAGAGTGGGCACTGCTGTATCCTCATGCCAGCCAAGTGCTGGAGAGGACACTCCTTCCTGCCAAGGACCTGGGGTAGCTGCAAAGTGACAGTGACCCTGGACCCAGCTTTTGAAGGTTGAGTGGGATGTTGGCAGGCAGAGATGATAGAGGGCTGTCTGTGCTCAAAGATATGGAGGCAAGGTGGCCTGGGGACACAGGAGACTGGCATAGATGTGGTGTGGGGGACCAGTAGGAGAGGGTGGCATTTTGACAGGGGGTACCCTTTCAAACCATATGCCTCTAACATCTCAGAGTTTGTTTTCTCAGGAAAAGCAAGGCTGGATAAGCCAAAAGAAAACAGAATTTGAAGCCAGGCAGATCTGTGCTTGAATCCTGTGCATAGAGCAATATATAGCAGATGCTCAGTAAACATGTGCTGTGTGAATACAAGACTATGAAGCTTGTCCAAGGTCACACTTCTAGAACATGGTCACAGTCAGGACTGACGGATTCACATTTTCATTCAGCCAGAAAATAGTACCTACTACGCACCAAACCCTGCCTGGTGCAGAGATTACAGCATGAAGGAGACCGATGAGGTCCCTGCCCTTGGAGTTCATGGTTCTGGTGGAAAAGTTGGACATTAATCAAATAATGACCCCGATAAATTTAGAACCACAGCTCAGAGAAATGCTAGAGAGAGCTGTGAGGGTGTAGAAAAAAGGACTTAATCTGGTTAGACATTGTTATGGATAGGACTGTGTGTACACCCCACCCCAACCCCCTCAAATGTGTTGTGAATCCTAACTATGTGTGGCTATAATCCTATCTGGGCATCTGGGAATAAGATTTTCTTTGTTGTGCCAATGAAACCATATCAGTGTTGGGCATGTCTCAAGTCTATCACCTGTGAGATGTAAAAGGACCAGTGTAGGCACAGAGAAGCCCCAACCCAACCCAACTCGTGGTCATTGAGTGACTGAGAACAACCCTAGAGAGTTTCCAAGTCTATAAATCTTCCAGGGAGCAAAAAGCCTCATCTTTCTCTGTAAAGGAGCAGGTAGGTTTGAGGTACCTGCCTACTTTGTGGTTAGCAGTCCAGTGCTTATCACCACGGTGCCACTAGAGTGCCTTTGCTATTGTTACTGTGTGCCATTGAGTCAGTTCCAACTCATAGCTACCCTATATAGAGTTTCTGAGAGCGGCAGGGGGATTTGAACTGTCAATCTTGTCAGTCCAGTGCTTTTCCTGCAGCACTACTCCAGGGCTCTACCAGGGTACCTTAGGCACAGAGAAGGGTGCACAAATGAAGGGCACACCAATGAAGACACATGCCACAGGGAGATCACTATGAGGCAGGCAGGCCTGCGGAAATAGGCGCTGACCCCCCATATCCCCTAGGCTCCTAGCTCATTCCTGGAGCAAGGTTCACATTCCAGGAAATAAGCAACAGACCACCTCAGCCTCATGTGATCACCCAGGCTAATCTCGTGTTCCTGACCCACCTCCGGGAGGGAACAGAACCCTGAGCTAATGTTCACCTGCTTCCACTTCTGTCTTGTATGCTCTTACATCCTTCCCCGCCATATGTTTGAACCAACCAATCCCAGGTAGCCCCGTGAAGCTGTTGGCCCCTGCTAAGCAATCCCAAATGAACTCATGTATGCACCTCCTATTCCCTATAAAATATCCTCACACAGAGAAGACGGGGCTCAGCCTCTGGATAAGAATCCACTGAGCCACGTGCTAGCACAATAAAGCTCTTCCTTTGTTACAACCCGCATGGCGTTGGCAACTCCTTCAGAAAGACTCTGGAACAGAAACTGAACAGAATTGGCAGAGACTTCCCTAGAGCTGGCCCTCTGATTTCAGACATCTAGTCTCCTAAACTGTGAGAAAGTGGATTTCTATTTGTTAAAGCCCCCCACTTGTACTTCTATTATAGAAGGCACTGTGGGTTTATGCGCTGGACTGCAAGGTCAGTTTGAACCGCAAGTTTGGCGGTTCAAGCTGACCAGCCACTCCTTGGAAAACTGAAACAGGGTCACTATTAGTCAGAACCAACTCAATGGCACTTAACAACAAGATAAGTAAATGGAGTCCTGGTGTGGCACTGTTGAATAAGCATTGGACTAAAGCCATTTGAATTACAAGGTTGGCGGTTCAAGCTCACCAGCTGCTCCTCAGAAACCCGATACAGGGTTGCTATGGGTCGGACCCAACTCAACGGAACATAACAACAACTAGTCACAAGATTGGTGGTTCAAACCACCAACAGTGTAGTTGAAACAGAGTTGAAACAGAGACTTGGGGACTTCTCTGAGGAACCTGAGAAGGAAGTCCACAGGCTAACCTTGGAGTGTGCCTACTCTCAGGTCCTGGCTGAGGACTACTGGCTTCCAGCTGCAACTGGGTATTAATTTGGCATCTCCCTACTACTACCTGGCCGACTGATTGGAAGAGATCCTTATTTGTGCCCATTCCAAGGAGAGGTGACCCAATGCAATGTGGAAATCATCGGACCATCTCTTTGATATCCCATGTAACTAAAGTTTTATAAAGGTAATACAGAAATGGCTGTAAGCAAACACTGACAGAGAACTTCCAGAGGTTCAAGCCAGATTCAGAAGAGGCTGTGGAATGAGGGATATCATTGCTGATGTCCGATGGATCTTGGCTGAAAGCAGAGAATATCAGAAAGATGTTTACCTGTGCTTTATTGACTACACAAAGGCTTTTGATTGTGTGGATCATGACAAGCTATGGACAACATTGCGAAGTATGAGTATTCTGGAACACTTAATTCTGCTCATGAGGAATCTGTACCTGGACCAAGAGGCAGTTGTTCCAACAGAACATGGGAACACTGGATGGTTTAAAATTAAGTAAGGTGTACGACAGGGTTGTATTCTTTCACCATACTTATTCAACCTGTATGCTGAGCAAATAATCTGAGAAGCTGGGTTCTATGAAGAAAAACATGGCATCAGAATTGGAGGAAGACTCATTAACAACCTGCGATATGCAGATGATACAACCTTGCTTGCTGAAAGTGAAGAGGACTTAAAATATTTATGATGAAGATCAAAGAGCACAGCCTTCAGTATGGATTCCATCTCAATGTAAAGAAAACAAAAATCCTCACCACTGGACCAATAAACAGCATTCTTATCAATGGAGAAGAGATTGAAGTTGTCAAGGATTTCATTCTTCTTGTATCAACTATCAACACTCACGGAAGCAGCAGTCAAGAAATCAAACAACGTATTACATTAGGCAAATCTGCTGCACAAGAACTTTTTTTTTTTTTAAAGTGTTGAAGACTAAGGTGCGCCTGACCCAAGCCATGGTATTTTCAATAACCTCATATGCATGTGAAAGTTGGACAATGAATAAGGAAGACCATAGAAGAATTGATTTGAGTTATGGTGTTGGAGGAGAATATTGAAAGTGCCATGGGCTGCCCATAGAACCAACAGATATGTGTTGGAAGAAGTGCAGCCAGAGTGTTCTTTGGAGGCCAAGACGGCCAAACTTAGTCTCTCATACTTCTACTATATTGTCAGAAGGGACCAGTCTCTGGAGAAGGATATCATGTTTGGTAAGGTGGAGGATCAGAGAAAAAGAGGAAGACCCCCAATGAGATGGATTGGCCAAGTGGCAGCATTAATGGACTCAAACGTGGCAACAATAGTGAGGTTGGCCCAGGATTGGGCAGTGTGTTGTTCTGCAGTGCATAAGGTCGCTGTGAGTCGTCACCGACTTGATGGCTCCTAACAACAGCTCACTTGGAGCTGGCCAGGTGAACCAAGGAGAGCAGGGCAAACCCCCAGTCTGATAGGGGAGACAGGCTTCAGGGAGCTTCAGACCGAGGGAGGAGATGAGACAGTTCTGTGTCTTGTGCTACGTGAGATCAGACTCTTGCCTACTGAAGCTTCTAGCCTCTAAAATGTCAGGCCCACCCTTCTTGGACCCTCCCCCCCCCCCCCCCCACGCACACATACCCCATCCATTCCTATGACTAAATCTGATACCTTCTCCCTACCCCAAACTTTTAAAAACCTCAGCAATGCCTTTGTTCTAGAAGACAGAG